GAGGCATGAGGTTTGCAAATAGTGTCTTGCTCTTCCCTGAGGTGGGAAGTTGCTTTGTCTTCTCACACACACACACACACACACAGAATTTTCCCCCTGCTCCTTTATGTGAATAATAATGAACCAACCTAGGGGTGAAATGACTGAAATGATTTCTCTTCTCTCCCTGTTTCTCTTTGCAGAACTGAAGACTATATGAAGTTGTCCCTAGCCTCCTCCTAAAAGCATCCCTTGGCATCTTTAAAGGCTTGAGAGAAATACCAAAACGAACCAAACACATCCATAAGAGAAATCCATAAGCCCTCAAAACTTGGGAGCCCCTTTTGGTCTGAAGTTGAGTTCTTCAAAAACTTCTGTGTTGTCAAGTTTGAGGAGATCTTGTTGTGTGGCTCCATGGCCTGGGGCTGGGTCCAAGCAGTGACTTGAGTTGTGTTTGGGGGGATGGGATGAACCTTCCTCCCCTTCCCCCAAACAGAACCCAAATTGGATACTAAATATGCAGTGAGTCTATTAGTTCTGTTCATTATTAGTATTAGACCTGCCATGAAATCTGTGCTGGTCCTTTCTTGGGGTGGGTGAACCACAGCTCTTCTCCCAGACCAGCCTGGACCTTGTACAAAACTATCGAGTTGTTTCTGCCTGGGGCCAAACTCCTCTTTACTGCCAGGGGGTGGGAACTCCCTGAGATTTCAGATGTTGTACAACGCTGCTTTATTCTGAGAGGTAGAGGAGCAAAGTGGAGTCCAGGTGAGGGATGGCAGATGGTAGCTGGATTGACTCAAATCTTGCTTCTGTAGTTATTTTAGCAGAGAGCTGATTCTGTAGGTAGACAGAAGACTGGAGAAGTGATGAAGATTGATAGTTTAGCTGTTCTGCTTGTGGTGAAAGTTTAGGAGATGACACTTTGGTTGCTGTTAATATCTGGATCCTCACTTTTCCCTACTCTGGTTGCCAAGAGGAGATGCCCAAGGAGGGAGCTGCAGCATCAGAGGTTCCCTCTGGCTCAGGATGAGATAGTGGGGGCCCTGGAAGAGACACCCTCCCCTCTCCTCTGCCTGCTTGCTGTTCAGTGCCCTCTCCACCTGCTAGCCCTGTGGCTTGTCCACTGGAGCCAGAGCTCAGCATTGCTCCTCAGCTCTATCCCATGCAGAAGATGAGCTCGGCTGGGCCCTTGTACCTGCTTCAGACACAGCAGGTTTCAAATTAGACCCAGTTGCTTTCTGTGAATAGAAGGTCTGAGTCCTCTAGTGACGTTGTAGAAGAAGAGTGGGGAGGTGTCCTTCAAAGTTTCTCTTTCACTGCCGGACAACCGCCTCTCAGCTAACGCTGCAAACATATCAGAAACCCAACAGGCTGCTTTGGGGGTTTGTTTTTTTAGTTCCTTTTTAATGGCTATGCAGACAATACTTGAAACCATGTACGCAGTTGTCCTGTCCAGCGCCTGGGGTTGGCAAACCCTTAACAAAAGGGCTCATTTCAAGAACAGCAGGAGGCTCCAGCATTAGAAGAGGCTGGGCTGCCCCTTCCCAGCCGACAACTTCCAGCGTGCCCAGGGGTTTGCATACAAATTTAGGCACATCTGGACCCTCCACTTCAACGTCCGGCTGGCCCAGCCGCTGTCTCCCCTCGGCTGGCTGACGCTGTGTCCCGAGCACCCAACTATGCAAAGAATGCCTTATATTCGTTGTGTTTAAGTTCCATGGCAGTGTGTACATCGAGCAAAGTCTAGAGTCAAGTCCAGGTTTGTGCTAGTGGCAGCGAGTCAAACTGTTTCTTCAACTCAAACGGCTGGCTGGGTATTTTTTACTTTTGTTTGTTTTGTTTTGTTTTGTTTTGTATCTGATGGTGGCTCTTATACAAAGGACTGTAATTCTAGTGGCTTGAATCTGTAAAAATTGCCTTTGTTTTGTCCAATAAACCTTTGACTAGTTTATTTGGTTTGTGCTCGTTCTCCCTGCCTCCAGCAGCTTGTAGCTTCTTTCTCAAGAGATTTGTGTGGAAAATCTGGATTTTAGGTCGGAGGTACATTCTGCCCTCCTATGCCTTTTACCCCGTAAATTATTCCACTGGTTTCTTTAGCAATAAAGTGAGACCTGTGGTGAAAGTTGGGGATTTTTCTGTTATTTCTGCAGGAGCACTGCAGTGTTGCAGCAGGATCCTGGTTTTGTTTGGCCGCAGAGCAGTTAGTAACGTCATCACCACAGAGCTCTGCTGTGAACACGGGTGCCTAGCTGCTCCTGGAACAGACATCTCCCCTAACATGCCTACGGCTCACTGCCCCAGACCTCCTCTTAATTGTAAAAGTCTTGGACTGAAATGTCTAAAGAGAGCCTGAGGGAGTTAAGTATTCAAGCTCAATTGCCTATCAAGAAGAATTAGGTTGCTTTGAAAATCCTTAATTAATTTATTTTGTCAGCAATAAGTAAAATCCTGTCTGACCTCCTGAATCCAAAGAGCTTTGAGGACAGCACTTATGGGAAGAGAAAATGATTTTACTGTGCATAGGGCTGGTTTGATCTGAAATTATATATAAAAAAGCCAACTTGGACTACTACAAAGTTGTTTTTCAAGGTCGCCTTTGATAGGAGATGCTCCTTCTTGAAATCAGTTTCATGTTTTCGATGCCTTACACTTCCTTCCCAGGCTTTTTTCTCTCTTTATCTTTGTTTTGCTTTGTAGATTTTGTAGTGCAGACAAAGAATAGCTGTAACAGCTCTTTTTTATTCCTGTTTTACAAATGCACACTTGCGATATTTGAAGTTGAAGGGAAAGCCAAAACGCATTGATGTTGCACTTAAAAAAAAAAAATAGAATGAATATTGTCTGTGATCTTGATGTGGGAGGTTTTGAGCCAGGCAAACAAGCCTTTGGGGAGGTTTCAGCAGCGTTAGTGTCTGTGAAATAAGGAGTGGGGGAGGCAGACCTGCATGGCACACGCTTCAGACCGGTCAGCCAGGAGAGCTGTGCATTGAATTTCTCCAGAGCCGACTGGAAATGTGCCCTCTGGTGCCCAGTGGTGATGTACAATAAGATATTGATCGCTGATGACCGTGCTTCTCTCCCTCTTGTCTGGAAAGGGCAGTTGGGTGTTATCCATCTGAGCAGAAAAAAATGCAGAAGAGCCAGAGAAACGCAGGCGCTTGGCAGCCTATGGCCAGAGCTGTCCTCACCCAGAGATCCCACATCACCATCAGGATGTGTTTGGCCTTAGGACAATTGCATTTAATTGCAACAGAAAAGAATTGGCAAATGAGCTTCCTTTGGCCAGGATCTGCTTTTTTTCCTGCCCTGCCTCCTGCAGTGGGGCTGGGAGGACAGCCTGCTGTTCCTGCTTCTGCTGGGGCTTAGTCCAGGAGAGGGCAAAATGCAGAGCACCCAAAAGCTCCTCTGCTCCTTCCTGACTGTCTCCTTCTATTGATCTTGTTCATGGTGCGGTTGCTTCTGAAGTGTTGATGCTACCCTCTCTTCTTTCAAACAAAGGATGTGTCCTGGTTTTGCCTGTCAATAGGTATTTCTACCCCTCCCGTTCCTGGAACAGTTACTAGCATGTCCACACAGCACTAGCAGGAAGACTACTCCAGGTTAACTAACAGTGTGCATTTAAATTGATTAATTACACTGTATTAAAGCTTAATGCAGAAAGCTGGCTGTGACGGGGACAGAGGACTCCCGACAGGGTGACCATGTGGAAGGAAAAGCCACGGTCTGTCTTTCTAGCCCCGGGGAGGTCTAAAGATGTTAAACAAGCAGGAGGAGCTGGGATTGCAGCAGATCTGTGCTCTGAGCTGCTGAGCTATCACTGACTTCTAGCCCTGCAGGCACGCAGGGGCAAAACGAGCCTTGAAATGATAGAAACTGCTTCTCCTTTGTTACAGCCATAAAGCACCACAACCTCATTAGTTCTGTTAATGTCTCAGAGGAGAGTCAGCTATGAGGAGTGCTAGGCAGTCCTGGGGGCTGATCCCAGTCAGGTAAGGGGTGTGCTAACGAGAAGGTACCAGCCCACAGCCAGCCCTGCCCGGAGCCATGGTGCACGTTCCTTTTGCCCTAAAAGAGGATTTTGTAGGCAGTTGCATCAGTTTCCCAGCTACTTGTGAGCAAATTACACTCCTGCACTGCCCAGCCTTTTGTATCTCTGAGTGATGACTTATAGATGTATGACCAATTCAAGCCCTCCTATAAAGCTTCCTCAAATAAAGCCCTGTGACAGATAGATACAGATCTTTGTGCTGCAGGACATACAACAAGGGCTAACTGCTTCAGGTCAGGGAAAAATCAGGATGTCATCTGTTGTGGGGAGAAGAGGGTTAATCATCTCCTACGGGACTTTCTAGGGGTGGAAATCTGAGCTAGGTGGTCTGAGCACTGGTCAGCCTCTGCCCACACAGGGATCACCTCTGTGCTGGGCTGTGAACCCATCTCACCCTCTGGCATTGGCTCAGGAGCCCTCAGCTCAAAGCAGATCTCTGCCTGTGAAGTTGTGTTGCAGTGGCTGATTGAAGCCCCGACCATGCTGGAAGGGGGCCCGGAGTCTAGTTTCAAGGCAGGTTAGGGGTTTAAAATTCGATAGCAGTTCCTGAATTACTCTGTATCTACACTGCAGGATGAAAGGACGCTGTGCTGATGCAGCTTAATCCAGTTTCGTTATGGACTCTGCTAAACTGGGACATGCTGGTCTTACGAAACTCCACATCCAGTTATCCTGAAACTTGGAGTATAGATAAGCCTTAAGGAACTCCAAAGCTAGTGTTAAAGCAGTTTGCTTTATCTCCATATTTAAAGAATTGCAGAGCGTCCTGCAGGATGATTAGGCAGATGGGAAGGTGGAGGAAGGAGAACCAGAGGCTATCTCTTTCTTATCTCAGAGGGACAGATTTCCTGCTGCCAGCAAGGCTTGTAAAATGACATGCTTGGCTTCGTGTTTCATTCGACCGAGGTGTTCTTGCTCAAAGTGCCTTCTGGGGACTGGCTATTCCTACTTCTCCTTTTCTTCTTGACAGGGTTCAAAGAGAGCAGCTGGCTGCCATCTTCAGGCTCATGAAGGAAAAAAGTGACACATTTGGAGAGATGTCTGAAGGAGACATGAAGGAGCAGCTTAGACTGTATGATATATAACCTTGCAGCCAGTGGAGGCTACGCCCAAAAGTCATCTTGGCCCTTATTATGCAGTACACTGGGGGCTGTAGTGCTATAAACATATTTTGTTAGTTATTTGGCAGTTCTAGTTTGTTTTGCAAATGCATATAGGCCTGTGATAAGTAAATCAAAAGGCTAGTAACTTCTCACCCTTTATATAGTTTTTCCTTGAGGAGCTATTGTGATATTTTCATCTCATACAGAGATTTTTTACCTCTTTCTGGCTGGGTCACATGTCCCAGTTATACAAACCAGTTAAACTCCCAACTTTTTTCTGGCCATGCTTTATAAAAATGAACTTTCAAATCTAGTCTTTATCAGTTGGATCCCTGAAGAGAGCCAAAGACGACAGATGTAAAAATGGATGGAAAAAATAGAATCATAGAATGACTCAGGTTGTAAGGGACCTAAGGAGGTCTGTCACTCAAGCTCCTGCTCAAAGCAGCATCAGCTCTGAGACCAAGACAGGCCACTCAGGGCTTTATCCTGTTGGGTCTCGAAAACCTCTGAAGATGGAGACTGCATGACTTCTTTTGGCAGAGAGTCAGAGCTTCCATTGCTGCAGTCCGAAACTGGATAGCCAAAGGTAAGGCATTAGGGCTCTGATTAAAGGCCAGCTGAGCCTCCATGGAGGTTCTCATCTCCTTGGAAGGAACACTTCATCCTCCTTCCTGCTGGCTTTCTGAAACAAATCCAAGTCTGTTCCAGCTGACCTCGTTGAGCTCATCTTCACGCCTGAGGGGACAGCAGCTGCCTTCAACCTGCAAACACAAACAGCTCTTCACCTCCTGACACTGGTGAAAGTAGCACCAGAAGGGTGCTGGATGGGTGGATGGCTTTTTCACAAGGATGATTGTATTTAACTCAGATCCTGTTCTCCCAATAGAAAAATGATGTGGGAAACGGCGTGCTTAGGAAATCTCTGTGAATTTATCAAGTATTTTGAAGAGTCTTGACCAGCCCCTGGTGGCTTGGACAGATGTAAAATCAATGAGCATTTCTAATTTTAACGGAATGTCTTCTGGTGTACTTATCCCTCCTGTGAAATCCTGTTAGATACCTTATTACCAGGAAGGATTTTCTCAGTTTTAATAACTGCAGACAAAGGGAAGCAACATTTTCTGACCTAGTTTTAGGGCATGATCTTTTAAAAGATTAGGTTTTGCTTTATTTTGTGTAATTCTTTTGAGTCTGGGAAACCAAATATCTCATTATCTGGTCACTGCTCCCCACAACAGGATATTCTATAAGCCCACACTATTTGACTTTCAAGAATCATTTTATCTTCTGATTGTTTTCACCTAGGTGAAGGCATATTTATTATGAGATCAAGCTGGTTTTAAGCATGATTAAATCATGACTTAATCTAATGGCTGAAAATTACCTCTTCCTATTCAACACGAAGGAATTCAGTGGGAAAACACAATGTGAATCATTATGCTAGCTTGCTGTGTCCCTAGGCCACAATTTCCTTTTCCAAGCTGTGTAAAGGGAGAAATGTAGCAAATTTTTATATGTAACTTCTCCCTAGTTCAAATCTGAAAGCAGGATCTTTTCCAAAGGTCTTCTTGAACGCAAGCAAAGGAGAGTTGAGGTGTAACTGATTTTTAGTGTTTGTCTTGTAGATGTTATAGTTTATTTCCAAAATGGTTTTATACCTCTCCTTTTACATTTGGGCCTTCTCTGAACAGGAACATTTCTGGAATAAAAAAAAAAATTCCTCAAACTCCTCAGCTTCATGTTATGCCACCAGTGATAAAGCTGAATAAGGCAGAGCAGCTGGCATTAAACCTGTGCTGCCTTTACCAGCTCCAAGCAGTGCCACCAACATGTTGATGACAGGACAGTGGTAAAAGATCTGTTACTTACTAGCCCCAAATTTAAGAAATAAATTAAATTCAGTAAAAATGATAAAAACCAACAAACCACACCAGCCCTGAAACTCAGTCTGCCCAAGACATGAAACCAGGGGAGGTCTAGCTGTGGAACCTGTGGGTTCCAATGGCATGTTTGCTCTGCGTGCAGCTGCAAGGCTGTAAGAAAAGGAGCCCACTGGACACGTCTGGGTGAGCAAGCAGAAGGGAGGTAGGGTCAGAAGCTGCAAGCTGGACCTGCAGCTACAGGGCACACCCTGACCTGGCCAGCCAGCTTCTCGTTTCCTTCTCCATCTGACCTTATCAATATTTACACAAGAAATTTCACCAGTTGCTACGGCAGCATCTCCCCTCCTGGGTGCTGGCCTTTAAATAACAGTGTCTGCTCTTCTTCCTAGGGCACAGACGTGGCCCTAGGAACACACTGGGGTACTGGGGTATGATGGGAGGGCACAAATGGAAACCTTCCTCCCCTTTTATAGTCCCAAAAGAAGGGTCCTTACCCAGTGTGTGAAGCCAAACAGCACACAAGAGTTGAGAGATTCACTTAATTTTGCTTCTGCAGAAATGGATGCCAGGTGACAAATCACAAATCCAGCCTGTTAGCTCGAACAGCAGCAGTTTATACACAGTACAAACACCAAATAAATGATATATGTTTGGTTACATGATTTCACATCACATCAATCTTTGGTACGCATGCTTCATCATCTACCTAATTAACTATTACCTAATTCATTATACTATTACCTAGTTCATTTTACTATTACCCAATTCATTACACTATTACCCAATTCATTGCATTATTACACAATGCACTATACTAACACAGGCCCACATTTACATTTAAATTCTCCTCCTAGAGGTGTTGGTTTTAGTATTAAAATCACACGGATTATGTCGAGGACACCTCCACATTGTGATTTTTGTCCAAATCTGTGTCTTATGTACAGAAAGAAGCCAGAACGAGGCACTACCTACAGCGGCCGACAGAATTTTAGTGTCTTTAGATACTTCTCTTTATTACTGTGTCCTGTTTCTGATCAGAAACCCTTGAACTCACACGGTCATTTAGTTTTAGTGGCCTTCCAGGTTTGTTACCCTGCTTTCAGAGCAGGACCCTTCAGGACGCCGAGCGCCGTCGCCATTGGCCACACGTGTCCCCGCGCGGCCCCCGTAGGGAGCGCGGAACGGCCGCGGTTTGGCCCCCG